AGTCCTGTGTACTTGAAGTACTCACTCAACAGCTCTACCATCCCGAGCCCCAGAGCGGCCCCGTGGTGGCGCTGTGCCGCTCCTTGTGGAAGATGAAGAATCCGGCAGCTGAGGAAGATCAGCCTTCTTCCCTGTATGCCTGACCCCGTGAAACAGGAGCCAAATGGAAAAACCCATACCCCTCCCCACACGCATACACACGCACAATTACCACAGTGGGAAAGCTCTAAACATAGGCTGATTGGAGTCGATTATTCTAGAGACTCAGCTATCATGAGCGGCATCGATTGTGCTTTCGTGATTTTTCCAGAATGATAATGATTTGTTAATAGTGTTTTAAATAAAGCACCAGGCCTTGATTCACGTGCTAATGACAGCCCTGGAAAACACACTGTATATTACCACCATGCCAAAGGATTGGGGGGGTTTCTTTCATCCACGTGGAAGCCTAACAGGGCTTTGGAAGGTGTGCAGGGAGTGTAGAACACTGTCCCAAATAGTTTGTTTGTTTTAAAAAAACCTCTTAGATCCAAGGCCCCCACCCTGGGTGAAGGGCTACACCGCCCCACACCAGGGGAGACATAAAGATGGTCTCGCATGTTCTCAGAATGCTGCCTTTAGACCAGGGGTGAAGAACCTCGTTTCTGCCAAGGGCCATCTGGATATTGATAACATCATTCTTGGGCCATGCAAAATTACCAACGTAAACATGAGCCTGCTGTCTTTGGTCAGATATGTTATGAACTCACCCCTGGTGTGCTAACTGGAACGGCTGCTCATTGGCGAGCAGACTGCTCATTGGTCTGTGAAGTTCACTAGTGTTGATGGTTTCTCGGGCCTCATTCTGCCCAGAGGCGGACAGCCCCATCCCTTCCTGAGACCGTGACCTGAAAGAGGTCGGAGAAGGAAGGTGGAAACAAGTGTGAGAGATAAGCGTGGTTGTCCTGAAGAATGGTCTTTGAAGACCTCTGAACCCCTCATCCTCACACTTGGTTTCTTGGCTGCCCCTTCCATCTTAAAATAAAACCTCCTTTAGGACAAGCACGGCCTTTGCTTGCTCTGATTAGAAATGATCTTGACGAACGCCGGATGTGACGCTGCGGTGTATTTCGGAAACCATCCCCAAATTCTGGGTTTTCTGGCCGGTCATTTCTCTCTCTGTCACATACCAACATGGGGCCATTACTCATCCTTTTAAGACCTGAAAACCTCCATTTCTACTGTATTTCTGCCACGGTTCCTGTTGATCCCAGCGAGTGTTGACAACAGGCACGAGCTTGAGCTCCATGCCTCTTCAGGACTGACGGGCGGCTCAGGCTACCTGTGCCGGCCTTTGGGTCCGTTGATGGAGACACCCTGTCTCTTGTTTGCAGTGGGGCTCCACTCTAGGGCCATGGCTGTCCCGGGGATCGTTAGCTGCCCTCCAGTCAGCTCTGTCTCACGGTGACCCCGTGCCCAACAGAAAGAGGCCTTCCCCAGGCCTGCACCGTATTCACCACCATCAGTGTGGTTAAGTCTGCTCTCGGAGTCACTGTGGGCTTTGAGTGAGTCCCTTCCAGCCCCAGGGCTTTGTCTCCCAGGGCAATATGGGACCATGCTCCGATAGGATCCATAGTGTTGTCTTTGGCGAATTTGGGGAGTAGATTACCAGATCTCTCTTCCTAGCCTGTCTCAATCTGGAAGCTCCGCTAAAACCCCTCCCCTCTGGGGGACCCTGCAGGGAATTGAAATTCTGGCTCATGACATCCCTCTCCCCCGCCCTCCCTGCCCCTCTAGTTTATAGCAGCACGCAGGCCACCACAGGAGGACAAAGTGGTGGGTGGGCGGGGTCATCTATGTTGGAACCATCGCTGTTTTATTGTCACTTGATTGTGGGTGTTTCAGAGAGGTTTGGGGGGTGGGGTTGTGTGTTT